TAAGTTACACGAATGTTTCAGCGCACAGGGCTACAAATAAAACCCATAGAATAGAACACAAGCAACTCATTGCTTTACAATGAACCGGTCACAATAGCCGTGTTCTGGGCCAATGAGCGCTGTCAGACCTCAATGACTCCATGTGGATCGCACGTCGCCAGGAGTAAGTGTTTTAACATTTTGCAACAACGTGACTGCGCTAAATAATTTATTACAAGCAAGCGAGCGGATCTATTTTTAAATCCGTTATTGTAACCTCACTTTTGTTCGCGGCTGGCTGGCAAAACCTTTTGACGGCTAATTTACCCATTTCCTATCAACGCATCGAGCTGCACCTTGGAATGTAGACTCGTTGCTGATGACAAAACATTCTTCCAAATTTTAGCCCCCCCCCCCCCCACCCCACACCCTTAAACATAATTTCCCATCTTGAAGAGGGGAAGGTATATGAAATATGATGACACTGATTTCACGAAATAAAATGCCCGATAACTGCACTAAATGAGGTTCTTAAAAATATCGCAAGTGCGTTTGTTGAGTAATATTTTCTTTGGTTTTTCTGAACCAGTTGGTGAAATAAAGCTGCGGTGTGAAAGCGGGTGGGTCATTAGAATATAAACATAGTTCAGGGGCGTGGACGAAAAATGTACGTTTGCGAGCCTTGTCACGGAACGGGAGGTGGAGGGGGGGAGAGAGAGAGAGAGAGAGAGAGAGAGAGAGAGAGAGAGAGAGAGAGAGAGAGAGAGAGAGAGAGAGAGAGAGAGAGAGAGAGAGAGAGAGAGAGAGAGAGAGAGAGAGAGAGAAGGGGGGGGGGGGGGGGGAGAGGGAGAGAGAGAGAGAGAGAGAGGGAGAGAGAGAGAGAGAGAGAGAGAGAGAGAGAGAGAGAGAGTGAGAGAGAGAGAAAGAGAAAGAGAGAGAAAGTGAGAGAGATTACCGTCTTGATCGTCTTCTTCATTCCATTTAAGGGAACAATTCCCGTGCATGTCTTATTATATGTGGAATTTGTGTTTTTTTTTAAAAATCATATAATGCTCTATCCACATCCATGTCCAGAAGATGTCTTTCCCACTGGAAAGAGACTGAGGTGGCACCATTTTATTTTTTCGTTATTGAAGGAGAGAAGACCATTTCCTAACTCTGCTTGGATTGATTAACTTGTCAAGTTCTTTTACACGTCTAATGCGTCGTACTATTCTTACAATCACTCAATAAACTCAAGACATTTTCATAATAATTATAACTCTAATATCTAAGTATCTATACACATCAACTCATGAATAAGCTCAAGACATTTTCATAATAATTATAACTCTAATATCTAAGTATCTATACACATCAACTCATGAATAAACTCAAGACATTTTCATAATAATTATAACTCTATTATCTAAGTATCTATACACATCAACTCATGAATAAGCTCAAGACATTTTCATAATAATTATAACTCTAATATCTAAGTATCTATACACATCAACTCATGAATAAGCTCAAGACCTTTTCATAATAATTATAACTCTAATTTCTAAGTATCTATACACATCAACTCATGAATAAACTCAAGACCTTTTCATAATAATTATAACTTAAATATCTAAGCATCTATACACATACAAAAATGAATGTAGCACAGCTCGCTCTCAGACATAAATAATACACATCCTACTTCCACAAAAGTTCCACTCAAGACTGCCGCACGACTAAAACATACGTCACAAAACTGTCTAGACAAAACGTCACGAATCAGCATAAAAATAAGTCATAGAGACAAGGGCGGGAAGAGCGTTCATTAGCTAAAAGAGTAGAGCGCGGGAAGTGCGTTCACTATCCAATAAAACTCTCAAACACACACCGCACGTAATGAACATAATACCCGGTGGTAAAAAATACTAATAAACTCCCATACTTGACAGTCAGCAGACAGAACTGTCCGAGCACAACCAAGAGCCACAATTAAAAGACACTTTTAACGTCTGAGAGACGTCTTATTAAAATTAGGTATTCACAACTGTTACGGTCGTTTCATGTACTTAAAATAAAACAGGTTCTCCACTTTAAAATGGATCAGTTTTAGCTGTCCCTAAGATAAGGGGGCACAATAAAAATAGTTCATATAAATATTATAAATATTCAAGTCAATTTTTCAAATTAACCCCATTGCAATCTCAAGGATCAAACGAAGATTTTACCGTTTAAAATTTTTACTATTAAGTCCCCTGGCGCCAAAAAATGAAACTTTAATGCTTTACAGTAGGAAAGTAAGACATCTCTAAAACTACGCTACAGTTTCCATAAATATTTAGATCCCATTGACATTTGTCATAATCTTTATATCTACGTAAAAACAAGCTTAGGACTTGCTATAGAGTCTATATTTGTTTTCCAAACTTCAAATAACTAGTAAAAGAATTACTCTGTTATATTACTTTGTGATAAAATTCTGTTATTGTAACCACTAAGGGGGCGTCCATTAGTTACCAAACAAAATAGGGGGGGGGGCCTTGGAAATGTTTGAAAGGGGGGGGAGGGGGGTCCTATTAGTTGACGTCAACAAGCAAGTTTTCTATACTCAAATTTTAATTTAAAAAATTGGTTATAACATTATTTAAAAACATTAGTTACCAAACAAAATAGGGGGGGGGGCCTTGGAAATGTTTGACAGGGGGGGGAGGGGGGACCTATTAGTTGACGTCAACAAGCAAGTTTTCTCTACTCAAATTTTAATCTAAAAAATTGGTTATGACATTATTTAAAAAAAAATATTTAAGTTTAAATGAGAGTCATATAATTTTTAGGCTTTTAACAATATAAGATTTATTTAATGTCTGTCTGGGCACTGCTGATGGCTGGTCAAACTGGTAGCACACTTTGTTAGTGCAAGAGAAGTCAAAAGTTGGCCTCTCTTCACCTGTCGATTCTGTTGGTCGCAAATGACTAGGGCGGTATGTTTGCGATCGTGTTGCAGGTATGGAACCAGGTCAAGGTTCAAGTGTCATGTGCAGACAAGATAAAAGGGTAATGATAGAGTAGGAATACGACATTTTGAGAATTAGGTGAATGTAAAGTGAATAACAATAATAACATCGCTGGTTGGGCGGATTTCCAAACTGTGTAACATCTATTTTGCATCACAAGCCATGTTGTAAAAGCAGGTTCAACAGCACCGACAATGCCCTCTTGGTCACAAGAAATTAGCAACTGCTTCTCAACAAAAAACGATTCGACCAATGCGAGTAGCTGCAAGGAGATACAGAGAGCTTATGGCAATTATTGCTCACACCGACAATGCTTCTACTTTTAGGGTTGAATGGTTAGATGAGGATGATCTTTGACTTGTCTGGTACATCAGTGCCACAAGATGAAAATGATCAATCAGCCACTATAGACTATAAACAGTGTTGTTTATGTTTTGTTCAGGGGGGCGGAGGGGGCGAAACCAAAACTTAGTCGGCTTGTTAAGTTGTTTATTACTGGAGGCGCCCAAGTACATAGCAATTTAAATAAAACCTGTAAATTAGGGGGTTGGGAGCAAATGCCAGGGCCGGCGCTAGGGGATGGCGAGGTGGGCGACCGCCCAAGGCCTCACGTTTGCGGGACCCGCGCGTTGCCCTAGTCTATTTTAATTGTCTTAGATGTTGCTTGTTTCTAGATCACAATGGCTCATTCAGCTTCACGTTTTCGTTATTTGTTTTTGACAACCTTGATATTGGTAACAATGGAGCCGCGATGAGGAATTTGGACCAGGGCAATTAACTGTTATAGGAAAAAATAGAAATTTCAGAAACTAAGCGAGTGAACAAATATCCGTTACGACGGGTCCCATTATGACCAGCAAGGCCCCCAGTACGACTATAACGTGTCTTAAGATCCCATCGGCGGAATAAAGAACATAATAGGCCCCGCAAAATTCAATTTTCCCAAGACCCCGCACCCTCCTAGCACCGGCCCTGCAAATGACCCCATGCCTGACCCCAATGATGTCCATGATGCCAATTGTGACGATAGGGCAACACCTGGATACTCCTAGGGAAGATGATAGCAGCTAGAAACTAGACAATAATTGTCTGATATACTGACAATAACCATAGTTATACCACAAACAATGATATTTAGTCTTTAACAACCTTTCGATTGAATCTGCATTATAAAATTTTTTAAAGTGTAAAAACGTTTAAACTTGTTGATTAACAAGCTACAGATGTAATAAAAATGTTTTCCCTACAATTGTATTGTCATTAAAATAGATGAGCACAAAGTCAAATGTATTTAACAGTTTATTTATAATATCACTCGATTTTTTATTATTTTGTTTGGGGGGTGGGGGGTGTTATAAAATGTTGAGATAATTAAATAGGGGGGGGGTCATTGAACATTTGACAGTTGGTGACAAGAGGGGGGGGGAGGGGGTAAAAAATTGCTTAAAAATTGTTGACGTAATTAATGGACGACCCCTAAAATATCTAATCACACAAGGCCCTAAGTCCATTCTTTTTTTTTTATATTAAAGTTAAAATAAGGGTCTCATTGAGAGCACATTCTAAAAAGTGACGTTTTAACTTATCACTAAGATCCCTACAAAATTCATCAGCTAAATTCATCAGCTAAATAATCAAGGTAAATAAATTATAAGTTGTTCTATTAAAATCGATTGAATAATGTACGAAGATATTAAAGCGTATATAAGGTGATTAAAATTTGGAAAACGAAGTTAATATTAAAGTGGCAAAACTGGGACTTTTTATATGTTGAAACATTTTAAGGTGGAGAGTAGCGCAACATGTCTTCCCTTATTACCTCGGTATCGCTACCCCTTATTACCCCGGTAACACCGGATCTTATAGTCTAGTTCAGTGAAAAGAAAGAAAAAGATAAACTTTTATCTTCTAGGGTACATTTTTGTCCCCCCCCCCCCAAATGTAATAGGCTAAGAAATTTACAACATGTAATGTAGCAGGTGTGACGTCATTGAGTGGTGACAAGTGACAAATTGCGTTTTGGTTTTAACATTGAGAACTTCTTGTGATGGACCTTGACCTCGGAGTTTGGTAAAGTTGTGAACTTCTCTTGCAGCACAGAAGACGTTTGAAACTCTGCCGGAAACTGTCGGACAGAAACGCGTACAAGATTGGATTCACACAACTGTTTACGTACGCCAAACAATTGGACGCAAATAAAATGCAGGTGTATATGATACTGTCATTGTCAGCACCTAATCTATCGGCAAATAGCCTGATTTGAATTGGCATCCAGCAGACGGCGAAGACGATTACGACAATCACAACCATTTTTGTGACACTCCTCTTCATCCTGATGTTTTCAGCTCTTGATTGTTTACAATCTCCTGGGACGTCGGCACAACGTAATCGAATGAGAATGCGTCCATACAATAAAGTTATGACGGCCAGGGGTATGAAATATCCAATGACGAAAAAAAATCCGAAAAATACTTGGCCCGAAACAGGGTCTTCCAGTTCTTGAAGATTAAGACATGCTGATCTGGTTTCATTTTGGAAGACATAAAGGAACTCTCCAAACTGCAGGAATATTGGCGAGTTACCACTTAGAATAATAATCCAGATGAAAAAGATGGCAAACAAAGTGTTTCTTGTATTGAGTAGTGTCAGGGAACGAAGTGGCATTACAACAGCGATGTACCGGGTGATGGTCATGATGACCAGTGTGTATACACTGGCGTAAGCAGTGACGTACATGGCGTATTCGGTTAGTTTACAACCAAAATTGCCAAACGGCCATACATTTACAGCGTAATTCACAGCCGTGAAAGGTACACAACAAACTAAAAACAATAAATCAGCCAGGGCCAAAGATAGGATCAATATATTGGTTGTGTTTCTCATGTGTTTGTCTGTCAAGACCACAATGATCACTAATGAGTTCCCAAATACACCCAGAACACAGATGACACCGAATATTGTAGGCACAATGATACGCACGTAATCTTCAAATGTCATTGTCATCTCGTCCTGATCTGACATTGACGTATTGAGGGAACTCATTGTAATGCTGGTATTTCCTGACGTTTGTATGTCGAGTACTTCATCTCTTGAATGTGGAATATTGATGTCCTTACTGGTGTCTTTGAATCCTGATGACCTCACGGGTATCACTGAATCCAGAGAGAGCTACCACAATCTGTGAAATAATAATTTTAAAAATATACTGACACAATACAGTAAGAAATAATCAACAAGAACTGCAATTATAATTTCTTTTTTGGTCTGCACTCATTTGTATGTAATTAAATGATAACTAGCACTGGGCGTCATTTTCGGCAACATGAGAACCTTTGAGAGCAGTCTGTGGAAAATTGACACCCACGGCAATATTTGAATGGACGTTCATTAGCAGCAAATGACGTCCCCGAGCATTTCCGCACCGCGGTGCGTCCATCGTCTGACCAATGATGTGCAAGTTGTCTCTATCTCGTTCCGTTCCCGACGGAACACAAACAACGTGCGCCACGTCAAGAAACATGTTAACATTCTTAACACATTTTTGGACACCCGGATCCAGGCATTTCCCATGGCCTGTAGTCTGTAGTGCGTTACTTCCACCCTACACAATCTCAGGAACACGGCTTTGAAAAACAAAAACTTCATAAGACTTATCACATACCAAGTCCAATTAATGCAATACATAGTTATGACGTTCACGTGAACTTTCGAAAGATGGTTTCAATAATTTTTATTGAGACTAATTGGCATCGTTGAACCATTACAATCTGTTTGTTTTGTTTCTTTCCTGAGATATTTGTTTTAAATTATATTTACTCAAATCTAGAATGACTTCCCTTTGCTGACCATGCCAGACATCCGGTTTTTCTTTCATTCAGCATGTTTTGACGGAATATGTTTTTTGTGTGTTTTGTTTACGAACATGAAATCTCGACCTGGACCATCTGGCCAACATGAGGGGTAGTGTTTTTGATGAAGATTTAGGTTGTGATTTTATTATTTCTGATACAGAGCCTGATTCTTAGGGAATCGTACGATCCTAGTAGTAGGCAGTTATAACGAAAGTGACCATGACATTGATAATTCATCAGCTGATGAGCAACCAGCCACACCCCCAGCTCAGGTGTGCCATTTTGTGATTTTTTTTTTAAAATGTGATGTTAATTCTTTGCCGATGTTCACATGGATACAGTTCAGAAAAAAAGAAAACATTTTTGTTACACTTTGGATTATAAATTTCTCTTTGTGAGGCTTGGGAAGGACGATCTGCGAACTGTTGGTGAGTTTTTTTTAAATTTAAATTTTTTATTTTCCATAAACAAACTCACATTTATATATTAAAATTCAAACACAAAAGCATAGATTCCCCTCTAATTCCATCTAAGTCTGTATTGTCTGTAAAGTACATACATTCCCCTTTAATTAGATCTATGTATGTATTGTATGCAAAGAGTATAGATTCCCCTTTAATTGCATCTGAGTCTGTATTGTATGTACAGAGCATAGATTCCCCTCTAATTCTATTTAAGCATGTTTTGTATGCAAAGAGCATATATTTCCATAAATTAGATCTAAGTCTGTATTGTTTATAAGGACCATACATTCCCCTTTATTTCCATCTAAGTAATATTTCCTGTAAAGTGCATACATTCCCCTTTATTTCCATCTAAGTAATATTTCCTGTAAAGTGCATACATTCCCCTTTATTTCCATCTAGTAATATTTCCTGTAAAGTGCATACATTCCCCTTTATTTCCATCTAAGTAATATTTCCTGTAAAGTGCATACATTCCCCTTTATTTCCTGTAAAGTGCATACATTCCCCTTTATTTCCATCTAAGTAATATTTCCTGTAAAGTGCATACATTCCCCTTTATTTCCATCTAAGTAATATTTCCTGTAAAGTGCATACATTCCCCTTTATTTCCTGTAAAGTGCATACATTCCCCTTTATTTCCATCTAAGTAATATTTCCTGTAAAGTGCATACATTCCCCTTTATTTCCATCTAAGTAATATTTCCTGTAAAGAGCATACATTCCCCTTTATTTCCATCTAAGTAATATTTCCTGTAAAGAGCATACATTCCCCTTTATTTCCATCTAAGTAATATTTCCTGTAAAGAGCATAGATTCCCCTTTAATTCCACCAAAGTATGTATTGTATGTCAAGAGCATACATTCCCCTTTAATTAGGGCTAAGCCTGTATTGTCTGTAAAGAGCATACATTCCCCTCTAATTACATTTAAGTATGTTTTGTATGTAAAGAGCATACATTCCCCTTTAATTCCATCTAACTCTGTATTGTATGTAAATAAAATATAATTCCCTTTCTTTCCATCTGTCTGTATTGTATGTAAAGAGCATACATTGCCCTTTAATTCCATCACAGTCTGTAAAGAGCATATATTCCCGTTTCATTCCATCTAGTCTGTATTGACTATAAAGAGCATACATTCCCCTCCAATTCCATCTAAGTTTGAATTGTCTGTAAAGTACATACTACCTTCCCCTTTAATAAGATCTTAGTCTGTATTGTCAATAAAGTGCATACGTTCCCCTCTAATTCCATTAAAGCATGGGCGCCCGCAGAAAACTTTCAAGGGGGGGGGGAGGGGGCGGCAAAAAAAATCAATTACTTTCTAGGGGGAAGGGGGGAATTTGTTATTAATGTTTTAATATAGTTTTAATTTACTGTAGCGTATTTGTATGGTGAACGAACGGACAGGACATCAGCTTAGTTACTTACTCTTTAGTTTCTCTTTACTGTAATAAATTTTCTGTCTATTTTCTTCTAAATTTTTTTAATCCAATCAATCGGGGGGGGGGGGGGGTTGGGGCAAGTGCCCCCCTTTCCCTCCTGTGGGCGCCCATGCATCAAAGTATGTATTGTCTGTAACGAGCATGCATTGCACTTTAATTTCATCAAAGTATGTATGGTATCATAATGGTATGTCAAGTGCATACATTCTCCTTTAATTAGATCTAAGTCTGTATTGTCTATGAAGACCATACATTCCCCTTTCATTCCATTAAAGTATGTTTTGTATGTAACGAGCATGCATTGCCCTTTTATTCCATCACAGTATGTATGGTATGTCAAGAGCATAAATTCTACTTTTATTCCATCAAAGTATGTATTGTATGTCAAGAGCATAAATTCTACTTTTATTCCATCAAAGTATGTATGGTATGTCAAGAGCATAAATTCTACTTTTACTCCATCAAAGTATGTATGGTATATCAAGAGCATAAATTCTACTTTTATTCCATCAAAGTATGTATGGTATATCAAGAGCATAAATTCTACTTTTATTCCATCAAAGTATGTATGGTATGTCAAGAGCATAAATTCTACTTTTATTTCATCAAAGTATGTATGGTATGTCAAGAGCATAAATTCCACTTTTATTCCATCAAAGTATGTATGATATGTCAAGAGCATACATTCCCCTCTAATTCTCTAATTCCATCAAAGTATGTATAGTATGTCAAGAGCATACATTCCCCTCTAATTCCCTCAAAGTATGTATGGTATGTCAAGAGCATAAATTCTACTTTTACTCCATCAAAGTATGTATGGTATATCAAGAGCATAAATTTTACTTTTAACCATCAAAGTATGTATGGTATATCAAGAGCATAAATTCTACTTTTATTCCATCAAAGTATGTATGGTATGTCAAGAGCATACATTCCCCTCTAATTCCCTCAAAGTATGTATGGTATGTCAAGAGCATACTTTCCCCTCTAATTCCCTCAAAGTATGTATGGTATTTCAAGAGCATACATTCCCCTCTAATTCTATCAAAGTATTATGGTATGTCAAGAGCATACATTCCCCTCTAATTCCCTCAAAGTATGTATGGTATGTCAAGAGCATACATTCTCCTTTAATTCCATACCAAACTTAACATTTTCTAATGACACAACATAGTAGGGCATAACAAATACCGCACATTTTCAATGGGTTATAACGGGTTGAGTTGTTGTCTTGACAGGTCGACTGGACCAGAGGCCGTCCAAAAACTTTGAGCGAGCCACGTGTCCTTAAACATTCAGTAACAATTTGCGAAAAATCCTTTAATTAAGAAGGGAGGGAATCTACTATGTAAAATATTATGGTGTATTAATTTAAGTTACTTCCCTTTGATAACAAAAATTTGTAAATTTTTTTCAAACATTTCTTCTTATTTTAACTGATTCTACCAGATTGAAAACCCCCCTGTGACCGAATTAAATCTAGGTCACATTTTCTCATTTTGGTGTAGGTACAAATTCAGCTGCAGTTTTCTCAATTATAAACATATTCTAATGATTAACATTTTCTAGGTAATTGAATTGTCCATGAGATAAACTGAAACCATTTGTAAAAATTAGTTTGTGAGGAAATTATTTATTTTTTAAATTAGTATTTACAATAGAAAAAACAATAACTTTCGTATGAATTTTTAAATTTCCGAAACATTTCAATTCTTTTATTTGTTAGTTTCCAAATAATATATCCAATAATAAGAAATATGCACCACAGAATACTGAAGTTGAATAATATTAACACTTCTAATCACTTGTATTATATGCCATTAGTAACCCTCTCACTTGTTGCCACGGTAAACAAGTAGTTGAATTCTGTAACTAGCTTGAAAATTAAATCATCATTAATTAACAGCTCGTTTTAAAAAAAACAAAACATTCTGCAGATAGATTGCGGTTCGAATATAAACATCCTGTCTGTATCAGGACTGCCACTTACTTTTTAAAAATTTCCCAAGATTTGGTGAACAAATTTCCCCAGATTTCCCAGGATCTTAAAAATATATTAAGAGTTTTTTTAAAAAAGGGTTTTTTCTATTTAATTAATGTAATAATAGATTGAATTAATGCCCATGAAAAACATGGTACATTAATTGACTAAAATTTTTTGAACAAGACATTTAAAAAACTGTTTATCACATAAAAGAAACAAACAATTTGTTTTTAAAAAAAAATATTTAGAATCCAAAATATCAATACCCACTGGAGTTAGACTACTGAATATTACCTTCGAATTCTCTGTTAAAAATA